AGACTACTTTGCCAGCTAGGTAAAAGGAAAACTTGGTATAAGTTTGTAGCTGTCTGGGATTCATCTGTGAATTTATTTTCTACTCTGCCAGCCTCACATTCTTGTACATATATGCACTGGCTCTTGGCCTAGAAATCCTGTGTTTTTCTTCTATTTATTTCCCATTAGAGAGAGAATTGTTCAGACAGACCAATACTGCATAATTTTGAAGCGGAAAGGGCAAGTGGGTTGAATATCCACCAGCTGGACATGTTATGCAGTGTTACACAGCCTGTTTACAAAGAAAGCAATGCAGTGCAAACGAACTCACTACTAGGAGCCCATGGATTCAGTCCTCCTCTTGGGTATGGTCTCAAGTGGAGTTGAGGTTGGTTTGTTGACTGTGATTCAGAAGGTTCCAGGCTCTCTGTGAACATCAGTTCATGGGTTTCACCAGATGGGCAGAATGTCAATTTTGTCCATTGGTCAGGAAAGACTGCATCATGATAGTCACTGACAGATGACAGAACAAGCACAGACAAAGCTCCCCTCCTAGTAAAACTGTACCAGTTTCTTCTGACACCTTGCTCCGCAGAGAGAACCTTTTCTGTATCAGTGACATGAATGTGAGCCTCAGATGCTGTTGTTTGCTGTTTGTGTTTAAACAAGTACTAATTCACAGGCAGGCAACTGGGCACTGTAAAAAACTTTTCTTGCTTGGCAACAAGTAGTTGTATGCCAACTATTAGGTGGCGAGGCAACATATGATTAGGATCTACCTGACTCAAGAAAGGCCATATCAATACAAGAAAAATACAGACTGGATAGGCAGGAAAGCAACATGGCTCTTCATATGGATGACTTAGCAAGGTACATCACAGAATCCCAGAATCCCAAGGGTTGGAAAGGACCTCAAAAGATCATCTAGTCCAACCCCCCTGCAAGAGCAGGGTAACCTAGAGTACATCACACAGGAACTTGTCCAGGCGGGCCTTGAATATCTCCAATGTAGGAGACTCCACAACAACCCGGGCAACCTGTTCCAGTGCTCTGTCACTCTCACAGTAAAGAAATTTTTCCTGATGTTCACATGGAACCTCCTATGCTCCAGTTTACACCCATTGCCCCCCATCCCTATCACTGGACGTCACTGAAAAAAAAACCTAGCTGCATCATCCTGACACTCACGCTTTACGTATTTGTAAACATTGATGGGGTCACCCCTCAGTCTCCTCCAAGATAAAGAGACCCAGCTCCCTCAGCCTCTCCTCATAAAGGAGATGTTCCACTCCCTTAATCATCTTTGTGGCTCTGCCCTGGACTCTTTCAAGCAATTCCCTGTCCTTCTTGAACTGAGGGGCCCAGAACTGGACACAATAATCCAGATGTGGCCTCACCAAGGCAGAGTAGAGGGGGAGGAGAACCTCTCTTGACCTACTAACCACACCCTTTCTACTGCACCCGAGGATGCCATTGGCCTTCTTTATTTCAGGACATATATGGATCCTTTGGGGAAGATTTAATCTCAAGGAAACTCTTCAGCAAATCCACTTCAAAAGTGGGGTTTGGAATATACATCCAAGATAGGTAACATAGCTCTGTTTGTGATGGCAAGAGGCTCTTGGAAGGAGATTACTCAAATTAACCTTCAAGGTTTCAAGTCAAGGCTACCCCAGACACTAGGAATGCCTCTAGTAAAATGCTTCAAGCTAATTGTCTAGCTACTAGCATTGCTGTTTAACTGTACATACTTCAAACTGTATGATAAAAGCTGCACTGACAAAGCTACGCTCTCAAAAGTAGAGAGCCACTTGATATCAGCAGAAAGATGGCTTCATAATTCACCAACAAAATCAATCATATCAGGAAAAGGATGGTGCTGGGGCTTTTCTCAGGAACAGAGAGCTCATTCTGCATTAGGTAAAATTATACACCAGTCAGTAAGGCTGCATCGACCAAACACTGAATTGTGCAGCAGGCTACAAGAAGGTTTGCAAGGGAGGATGTTACAGAGACTTTGTGATGCAAAATGAAAGATATATTCCTTGTACAATAGGCGGCTGGAAAGCAAGCATGGAAGCAAGTAGGGAGAGAGGTGGACAAATGAGTTAGAAAGTCTGAGACAATTCTAGGTATGGAAAATCAGATGCGTAGAATGGATCAGAGTTAAGAAGCTGCTTGTGTAATAAAATGCCCTGCAGTATTTTGCTGTTAGTAACAAACAGTTTAAGTAACAGCCAGACAGTTAAAGCCATTTTTTTGTCTTCACCTCCTCTAACCCAAACTGTGGCCTGACTTTAACAGTGCTTCAGGCCTGGCCTCATCACCAGCTGTAGTTCTGTCCATACATGGCATCCCAAACAGTCTGGATCCAGACTGCATGCTACATTTGCTCTCAGCCTCTCTCTTCTAGGTCTAGGTTGTCCCTGAATATATTTGTTTTCTCTGCAGCTTCTGAAAGACACTTCAGTCTTTCATGTGCGTCCTATCAGCCTGTGCACACCCCACACCTCCTCTGGGACACTCCCTTGAACAAATGCGTTTTGTGCTGGACTGAATAGCACATCTGAATGACAAATGAGCACTGACTGAGAAGAACAAATCTGAACTGAACTGGTATCATCCCAGTTTGTTTAGACAAGGCAGGTGACCATACTTAAACTGAGGCTTTCTCTGATCTAAATACTTGCAATCAGTACTTCTGAAAGAAGGAGCTGATCACTGAATTATTTAATTTTCACAGCTACAGATTAGGAGGCAAGAACCTGTCACAATCTAGTCACATACTTCACCCCTGCTTAACAAGAGTACAACAAAAGCATGTTTCTTCACTCAGAGACCTTCCTAACTAAATATACTATGAAGAGCCTTTTCCTGAGATTCTTCCCTTTCAGTTCTTTAGAATCACTCCATGAGCTTCTTTCAAAAGTGAGGATTAGAAAATTAGAACAAACCCCAAGAACTTTTCATTCCATGTTAGATATTGAGCACTTCTAAGCAGAAGTTCAAGATATTTGGTTCATATTTTTGCCAGTTGGCCTCTCTTCAGAAGGCATACACTATTGTTTTGTTTAATTTTGCTTGTGGCTGATGGAGCTGCTGCCAAATAGGAATCAGATTTGGGCAGACAGACTACCAGCGTCTCCCAGACACAAGGGGTAATGAGCACGCCAACTAAACGAGAGCAGAAAAACTGCTGTCTTCTGATGTGGGATTGTTCCAGTGAGATTGTTCCAGTTCCAGGTGGTTTTGAAGGAGCTTGTTCTTAATGCTTCTAAGAGCAGGGCACACCTGAACTGAGTGCCTGTGGGAGGGGGACAAGAGCTTGTGAACGGCTGCTAGAAAAACATCTTTGCCAGTCCACCTGATGTAAAATCTTACATTTTTGTTACATTTTACTCTTTGAGTTCCCACTGCTGCGGCAAGCCTTGCTCTTGGTTCCTGCTTGTCATTACTGTCTGTTCAAAACTGCCCCCAGGAAAGCTGAGTCCCCCTTTTCATCCGAGAATTTGGATGTCATTTATAATAATAAGTTTCTGGTGGTGGTACTGACAGTCCTCTCCATTGGGATGGGTCTTAGCTTGTGAAGTTTAAGTTCTCTGAACCAAATATGCTATTACTGGCACGAGGATTTCTTGTCAGCGTGCTTTTTCTTACACAACAAAGCAGGAATGTCACAAAACCAAAATTCTTTCTCTTGAATTTGTACAACAGTGTACAGACCCAAGGTCTGGCATGCAGGGTCAGGGCTGCAGCAGACAGCCCTGGCAGAAAGCCCCAGTGAGCCACACGTGCCCCAGCTGCAGTTCAGCATCCTTTTTTCCTCCATCCTTTTATCTTTCAGTGCCTGACAATCAGCAGCACATGACTGATCTGAGTTTTGTGTCATACTGACAGAGATGCAGTCAAGGCTTTAGAAAGGATACAGCAGCACAGTGTAAGGCAAGCCTAAGGGCTTTCTTTCAAAAATTATGGGTTTTATCTGTGAAGGAGAAGTTGATAGGCAGCACATGAGGGTCACCTATCTGATAGTCAAGAAGCAGCAACTGGGTTAGAGATGAGATATGACAAACCCTGGCCTCCTATGCCTGTGTTCAGCTTCTGGGAACTTCAGTATTTCATGACTGTGCTGGATGCTGACTTGGCAGCAGCTGGGAAAGGATGAGTAGGGAAAAAAGGGGAAAAAATTACAGTGAGGAACAAAAAAACCTGAAATGGAAGTCTTTAGCGGTCCACCCCTGCAGCACAGCAACCCATCTTTCCTCTGGCATACACATCTATAGGTAGACCAGATCCATCTCAGAAAATGATTTAGTTTGCAAGCATTAAAAAATTAAATGTTTGCAGTTAGAATCTGAATTTATATTAAAAAGGGTCTTGTACCATGTTAGTTAACCACAATGTAAAGTGAGTATCTCCAGTCAAGGCAGCTGAGCTACATCTCCTCCAGGTATTTTCTGTAGGATTATGAATAATACACGCGGGTGGAGTCTTGCCATAGTGATGTCTCCTTTTCTTTTACAACCTTTAACCAGTGGGGAAGTCAGCTCTCATAACTGTACAAGCTTATTGCTCACCCTTCAAGTAAAACTTTTTAATTATACTTATCCTGAATTATCAAGCATAAGAAAATAATTATGTATGTTGATGCCACAGCATGTGCAGTGTTTGTGACAAATTAGTGGCAAATGGGACAGAAGTGCAGCAGCACTGCATGTCAGAGAATATCCCCTATCTCCCTGAGCAAGCACAGATAGCGTATTTTACCAACTCACAGCCTCCCCTTACGCAAGATTAGTCTGTCTGAGAAAAGAGATAAGATTGTCCTTGAAGACTGAAAGAAATCAAGACGAAACTGTTTTTTGCTTTGTTCTGATTGTGTTTTTTTTTTTTTTAATCTTTTGCAGTTAATGAATCAGCAAGGAAAGTTATCATTTAAAGAATACCAATTTAATCTCAAAGTCATTGGTCACAAAATACTTATCGGATGAGAACTAGAAAAAGAAAGTCATAGTTGCCAGTTTGGAAGTCCTGCACAGTAGAAAATTTATTGTTAATTTAAAAGGCACATTAATTTCCACGCAACCCTTAGCAAAATGACACTATGCTTAAGACATGGCTCAATAATGTGATACAGTCTTGGGAGAAGGACATAAACACTTTGGGTTTGTTTTGCTTCAGTTCAGGAAAAGCATTTTGTATAGGAATTAAATGCCCTTCATGCCACATCAGGACAAGACTGAGCATCAATAATACTGCTGTTCAATGTCACATCAACTGAGCGTAGCCATTGGGTTAGATCCTCTAGCATTTTTGTGTAGATGGAATTTCCTCCTAATGATGAAGCTAAGGATCTGAGGAACTGGAATACTGGGTGGAAAGCAGCAGATAACCTGACTTTGCCTATAGCAGGACTTTCCACTTAAACCAGATTTCTGTTTGCCTTGAAATTCCAGTTCTAAGAGGAAGAGAGCACACCCTGCAAAATTCTGGCAGCTTCTTGGCTGTTCCTCACTAGACCTTGAGCTTTGGGATAACAAACTCATCTTGAAAATCCATCATCACACAAATATATAGATTCAAACCACTGCTGGAATTTTTACAAGGTGCAATGGTTGCTGAGAATCTGTATTTGGCTAACAGACATGTCCAGGCACTTATCCACTGCTTGTTTGGACAAGTTAGTTGTCACGGGAAATTAGCATCATGCTCCCTCTGCTCTAGCCTAGCTTTAAACAGTATCTATCTGCAGTGCTCATGTTCTCTAACAAATCTTTTCACTATTCAAATATCATTTTAAAATGACACCATGGGCAAAGAAGAAACCTGAGAATTATAAACAGGAATCACACCAGAAACTAACCAGTCCTAGTTGAAGTAATAAGCACCTATCAAAATAGCATACTTCCAAATAGTCTGCAGATACTCAGAATTATAGAATGGGAGATGACAGGAATACAGGACCATATGACAGCATCCAGTTCTCTATGGAGGTAAAGTTTCATCTTAGTTTCCCCTCCTAAATAAGAGTGAAAACAAACCCCCAGCTGAAAAGGCACAAATGATCATTGCACATCAAAACTAGTATCCAAAAGTGTCATTACATATTAGCCAGGCAACCAACACTTTTATTATTGTGTCCCTGAATCTGTGCGTATTCTAAGGAAGTTTCTGCCTTGAAATAAACTCACCTATAATGTTTTCTGCAGCTAACATATGCTGCAGCTGCATTTACGGAAGTACAGGGTTGCTACCACAAGTCTCACAGCTGTTTATCCCCAAACAAGGCTAATGTTTCAGAACCAGAGCTCAGAAGCAGGGCTCCAGCAGGCTGGGGCTGCCCGGCCTCGTCCCAAGCAGCCAGGGCTGCTCCTCAGAACTGCCCCATGTGTCTGAGGGGAAGTCAGAGCTGTTTGACATCTGCAGTCAGATAAAACCTACATTTTTAGTGGCAGTGGGTATCCGTCGCTTTGCAGACTCGTTGCGGGGAACAGGCTCTGCTCCTCCAGCTCTGTCTCAATTCTTCACTTCCACAAGCCACATGTTTTGTTTAGCACAACCCGACGGTTTTCGTGGACTGACCGTATAAACACTGGGCAAGGGGTAAAACGGGCGATGGACAAGATGAGGAGGGACATAGATGAGAACAAAAAAAAGCCACCGGCAAAGCACAGGCCGAGCCCTCTGCTTCCCACGGACCCTGGGCGTGGCTCTTGCTGTCCCAGCTGCTGCCAGGCCCTATCCCCCTTTGTCCCTCGGCCCGGGCACTGTTCTGTTCTGTTCTGTTCCGTTCCGTTCCGTCCCGCCCGACGCCGCGGGCTCGCCCTCAGTCCCTCCACCCCGCAGGGAGCAGTGTAGCCACCGCGGCGCGCACCCGCCTGCCTCCCGGCCGCCGCCTCACACCCGCGCGCGGGGCTCCGCGGCCGTTGCCCCCAGCCCGTTAGGGGGCGCTGCGGAGACCAACGGTCCGCGCTGCTCGGCGGCCAAAATGGCGGCGTTGGCGGCAGCCCGCGTCGCGGTGTGGTAGTGTCCCCGGTCCCCGGGGGCCGGGCAGCGGAGCGGAGCGGGCGCGGCTGGCGGTGCGTGGGGATGCCGACTCGCTTGGGGGCAGGGGCGGAGGGGGCGCTCAGGGCTCGCTTTTCGCGTGGGGCGGCCTCGGGGCTGGGGGAGGGGCGGCTGGAGCGCCGCGTGGGGGAGCGAGGCTGATGCGGGCGAAGAGCGGGGGGACGGGGCCTTTCGCCTGTTCGCCGTCATTCCTCCCCCTCCTCTTCCCCCCTCACGGCGTGTAGCGGCGGCGGCTATGGTGAGTCAGCAGTGGCCCCCTCCCGCTTGCCCCCCCGCGGTGACTCTGCAGCACCACCTCTGCTGGTCATGCTCAGGCATGTCGGGCCGCAGCCGGCCAAGGAGCTAAGCCCCGACTTGCCTCCTCCTGGCAGCGCTATATAAAGCCCGGCCTGCCCAGACCCGACTAGGTCCAGATACCTGGCGCCGGAGTCTGGCGTGTGGGCTGGACGAGGCCACCGAGGTGAGTGGACCTCGCCGGGGTCGTCGGAGCGTCGCGCCCACTGCGGGGGGACCTGGGTTGTGTGGCTGTGTGTCCCCCTTCTAACGTTGTTCTGTTTTTATTGCAGGCAAATGTGCAATACCGAGATGTCGTCCCTTATGGATGCCTCTTCTGTCACCGCTTCGGAGCAAGAGGCGCTGGTCAGTAGCTCTGTTGGACGCGAGTTTTTCCCGCTTTTTGCAGTTTTTATCTGCTAATTCAGAAGCGATGTGGTGCTCGGCGAGCTGTGGTTAGAGAAAAGCCAGGCAATCCGGTGAAGATGGGCCTCTTTGATTCTGTAATTGTGAAGCAGATCTGTCTGATTCGTGGCTGAGAGTTGGAGGTGATGGTTCAGGTCTAGACCCCGTTTCCTGGAGGCACGTGATGGTCAGGTTGCTTGCTTTTAATGAAAAAAAAATCTTACGGTCCGATTTGATCATGTTAGCACTTCATAACTGAAGAATTGTGGAAAATCTCTGTAATGCAAAATGTTTTTTAAATGATCTTGTAATTACAAGTGAAGGGTTTCGAATTTGGCATTTTCATTTTCTGTTCTACTGGAATTCATAATGTAGTTTGTAAGAAGAGTCTTCGCTTGTGTTTATGGCTCTGCATATCCAGGCTTTCAGGACGTTTCTGCTTCCCTGGGCTCTGTGTAAGTTTTTCCAGGACAGAAGCCTGTGTTAGAGCAGACACACGAATTAAAACCGGCATGTGTGCACTGACGTTGAAGTGGAACTTTACAAGAAGGGTGAAGCTTAAAAGTGTAGGCTGATAGCAGAACTTCAAAAAAGTGAAGTAACAGCAGCAGGCTGTTCAAAGTTGGGGGTTTTTTTGGTTGTTTGGTTTTCCGTTTGTTTCTTGCTGGTTTTAAATCATCATAATAGTGATGCTAACTGTCTGCTGTCATATCTGCTTCACAGAAGGGCTTCATAATTGCAGGAGCTAGGGAGAGAGGGTTAGGGAGTAAAAGGATCTGTACCCTTGGGTCTAGTTGTGGATTCGAAGATCTGGAACTCTGCTTTGCCTTCCTGTGCTTAGATGTCTTTATCAGTTTCATAAACTACTGTTTGCTTCCTTTATGGAACTGTAATGTATATGCCCCATGCTCTAAATAATTCAGCATTTAGGAAGCAGTGAATAGACTTTTAAGGTCCACAAGGTTTTTTATTGTTTTAGCTATGTGTGATACTTGCAACTCATCTCTTGTTAATGCACTAAAGCTTAATGTTGATTTTAGCAGATACTTGAAATGGAATGTATGGAAGTTGTCCCCACCCCCTCCCCCAAAAGCGTTCAGTCCTTGTTTCATGATACTTTTTGGTATTCATGACATTTTTATGATACTCATGATAATTTCATGATTATTCACACTTTTCTATAAAATGTGTACTTCCTAGAATTTGTTTTATTTTAGGGAACATGTTAGGATAGCGAATATTAGCTTATTCTGAGAATTATTATGCTATTGTTAAATATACTGCACTGGGAACTGTCTAGTGGCTCCACAGGCATTTTCTTTGCAGTTGTGGCAGCCTGTGCAGCTTGTTCTCGTGTCCTGAACTAGTACTGGCACAGACATTTGTGGAACAGTGCAGTGACTGGGACTAGGACATTGCTCTGACCAGGAGGAGCAAAAGAAAAATTTTTAACTTTTCCCTCCTCTACCTCAAAATTTTTCATAAACTGACTGCAGATACAGCTCTGCTGGCACAGTGAGTGTGTGGGAGGCCATTGTGGAGGTAGGAGTAATTGAATTATGATGGACAGCACAAGGTGTGTGCTTACCCCAGCTGAGAAAAGTCTTCAGAGGTAAAGCAGCCCCAGAAAGGAAGAGACTAGGGAAAGAGGTGGACCAGTGTTTTACTTCATGACTTGCATTATGGATCTGCCAGTCGGAAAGGTTCATTTACCTTCCTCCCCTTTGGGAGTCAGTGTTGTGACTAAAGGAGTGGAGCTGAATTCCCCAGCACCTAGATCTGTGGAGCTACCAAAGGAATCCTGAGGCTAAAATCAAGAGTATGTGTGTACCAGTGAAAGATTGGGGGCTATTAAGATGTGTATGGGAATTTAGTATGCTTAGGTTTGTGTTATTTTCTTTTAAGTTTAACTTTGCAAAAATAACTTGGATATAGATAGATTTTAATGTGTGTTTATATATCAGATTAATAGAGAAGGTGGAAGCCAACCTGTATGAAGAATTTTGTTTGGTGAATAATTGGTGCATACTGTTTTTCTTCTTCTGCACACAGGTTAAGCCAAAGCCACTGTTGTTGAAGTTGTTAAAGTTAGCTGGTGCAGAAAAGGACACTTTTACTATGAAGGAGGTGAGAACTTTTTGGTAGACCACAGTGAATAGCCTGTTCTTTTGTTTTGCATGAACAGGTGAGGGGGTGGGATAGGACTGTGTAGTTCAAAGCTTGTCTAGAAGACACAGAGGCAATGGATTGGTTGTATTCTGCCAAATTGTCAGGTGCTGTTTAGTCAGTTTCAAAATCTGAACAAATCTATCTGGTGGTGAGCAGAATAGCAGAGTTCTTGGGGATAAAGGACAGATGAAAATCGCAGCTCAGGGAGTTTTAGGGAATCAAAGTGAGAAAAGCAAATGTCAATGAATTTAATGTGTTTTCTCTTAAAACAACAGAACCTGGGTATTTAATGTCTTTGTATATTGTTTATTTTACAGGTAATATTCTATCTTGGACAATATATTATGTCTAAACAGTTATATGATGAAAAACAGCAACATATTGTACACTGTGCAAATGATCTCCTGGGGGATTTATTTGGAGTAACAAGCTTTTCAGTAAAAGAGCACAGGTAAAACAGGATTCTTTTTGGAAAGTCTGGAGAACATAATGCATATGGCCTTTCTAAACTCTTTGCATCTTCAAAGATGGTAAGCTTTCTTTTATAATTACGTGTAGTTAACTTGCAACATCTTTTTTTGTCCCCATCTAAGGAGACTATATTCAATGATTTCCAGAAATCTGATAGCAGTCAATCAACAAGGTAAGCTAGTCTGGGAGAATTTCTCCATAATTAGCTAAAAGGCTTTACATAGTACTGCCCAGATCAGTCACAAATAGTGAATCAAAGCAAACACTCTTTCTTCTGGAGAAGAAAAAGGGAACAGTGTTTGGGTAATTTTGTTGGACTGGAACCAGAACAAACACATTCAGAGCTGAGCCCAGAGGACACAATTGGAAAATTAGTTGTTTGCTTGTTTTTCTTACAGATAAAGCCCTCAACAGCAGAAAAGGTTTTAATATGAAAAGTTATCATCTTGAACTTGTGCCAGTTAGGAAGTCAGGGCAGATGCTTCTTATTCTTTCTGTTACAGTGTTCTGGTTTAATTTTCAAAACTGTATGTGGAGTGCATTTAGAACTGGTCACCCTCAGCTACAGAGTCCTGTTTCAAAAGATCTGTATGCTTTAAAGAGTAGTTTGTGATTACTTGGTCGTTAGACACTCTATAAGTGTAGAATTGTTCCATACAGTCATCTTTCCTGCAGTGCAAAAAAGTTCAATATAGCTGTAATTTTTGACTAACACAGGGAGCGAACTCGAAGTTAAACAGTGGAAACCATTCTGTAAACTGGCTTCTAAATCCATGTTAAGACATCCTTTGTTTCTGATACTGCCTAAAAGCAGTTCAGCTGCTGAAGATGGGAAACGTGCTTTCTTTATTATCTCTTACTGTTATGCTTGCAAACTGAAATTACTTCTCAAATTCTTGAAAGATCGTTCAGGGTCTGTCTGGTAGTAAGCATATATAATTAACAAGAATTTTTCTTTTATTTTGTGTCTTTTTAATTCAGTGTTCCCATAAGACTATAGCTAGTATACTTCTCCAAAGAAGTGTAAAATATTTCTTGCCTAATATCCTTTTGTACCTGCAGAATCAGATACAAAATCAGAATCAGCTAATGCACAGCCTTCATTTGAAGGCGCTTCTAATAAAACTGAGCTACTTTATGGCTGAGATTTCTTTTTTGTTCACGCTTTCCCACTTCAGTTATGTTACAGGCCAAGTGGTGCACACAGCTGAAAAGCAAAAGAATAGGGTTATTTTTTCCATTTTTGCAAAATGGCAAATGGGTTGTACGTTCTGCTTTGCAAATGCTGTGTGCAGTTAACATTTATTTTTCCCTTGCTTTTATTCTAATGTTTTTGAGCCTGAAATTGACTTCTGCTGTGTTCTAATATGGGTTTTGGTTTGATTTGATTTCAGACTCTACACTTGCTAAC